CATCTACGTACCACACACTCTTAATAGTCAGGAGCTTGTCGGTAAGTTACACGATCTCTTACTAACTCTCGACCCACCGTATCTACTCTGTGGTGACTTCAACGCATCCCACGAAGCCTGGGGTAGCAGTAAATCTAACTTTCGGGGTCGACTACTACTCGAATGGGCAATCGAAAATAATCTCCTTGCATTGAACGATGGATCACCTACTCATTACCATTGCACCTCGGGCTCGTTCACCGCAATCGACGTTTCTTTCATCTCCTGTTTTTTTTTTTCCTTTTGGTTTGTTTTTTCCGTCGATCTTGTTTTCCGTGCTGAGCTACCAATGCTACCGACGTGCCAGGAAGGCAGCTCCCACACCTGGACCCTACCTATCGATCCATCAACTCATGAACCGGGGTCCAACGGCTTTACTTCCCATCCGAAGGAAGGCGTGATCAGAGATGTTATGCCTCAGAACATCCCGGCGGTGCCGACTGGGATTGAACCCAGGCCTGCTGGGGTGAGAGGTAATCACGCTTACCACTACACCACCGGTGCCGTTATCATCTCCAGTTCTCTTGCATCCAAGTTCAATTGGTACTGCGAAGAAGACTTGCATGGTAGCGATCACATTCCAATACACATTAGAACTTACAACCCACTCCCTGCTACCCTCTCGAAAAAAAAAAGATGGTTATACAAGGATGCCGATTGGACCAAATTCGAAAATGTTGTCGCACAGAAAATTCCGACAGACTCGGATGCCAACATCCAAGATATCACTCGTAGTATATTTGAAGCAGCATCAGTGTCTATCCCGAGAAGTAACGGTGGGCCTGGAAAGAAGAAGGAGATATGGTGGAACCAAGAAGTAGGTGAATTGATACGGAAACGAAGAAAAGCTCTGCGGAAGCTAAGGAAGATGAGCGATGCCAACCCAAGCAAGAGTGAGGCAAAGCAGCAGTTCAACGCATCAAAAGCAGAAGCTAGGAAAGCTGTGGAGGAAGCGAAAAGAAAATCTTGGGCTGAGTTTCAACAAATATTCACAAGCAGTACACCCACGTCCGAACTATGGCAACGCTTTAATAGACTGAATGGAAAGAAGAGTGCTAGGGGAATCGGACTTATCATCGACGGAGAACATGTAAACGACCCTACAGCAATCGCCGATCACTTTGCTGATTTTTTGCAGCCTCTTCCGCCACAGAAAGTTATCCAGAAGCGTTTCTGCGATGTAAACAGGTGTAGGAAACAGAAACGAAGCTGGTAACTTCCGCCCAATCTCGCTAACGAGTTGTGTGGTTAAAACCATGGAACGAATGGTGAATCATCGGCTCATCGCGCACTTAGAGGAAACTGGTAATTTGCACCACAGGCAATATGCATTCCGTAAGGGAAAGGGATCAACCTGTTACCTGGCAGAATTGGATGACGTTATTTCAGACAGAGTCTGGCATCGAAACATTATGGAAGCGGTAGTGAAAAATCATCTGGGAATTAAAATGAACAACTTCTTTTTTTTTATTATTATTATAGTCACTTTAACGCTCTTGGGTCAGTCGCGACTTGTCCGGGGGTGAGATTTGAACTCGTGACTTTGACGTGAGAGGTATGGATGCTTACCACTACGCCAGGGTCGCCCCCGTGAACAACTTCATTTCCAACTTCTTGCAGTATCGTTCAGCTAAAGTCAGTTTTGCTGGGCACTTGTCCAAAAATACCCATCAAGAAAATGGAGTCCCTCAAGGCTCGGTTCTTTCAGTATCTCTGTTTCTCCTTGCTATGAACTCTATATTAAAAATCATACCAAAAAATGTCCAGGTCTTCCTATACGCTGATGACATCCTTATCATCGCCACCGGTAAACGAGTAGGATTCCTTCGTCGTAGACTTCAAAAAGCAGTTACAGCAACCGAAAATTGGGCTACTAGCATTGGCTTCGAGATGTCTCCTACAAAGTCTTCAACCATGCACTGTTGCAAGGTTATTCGTCATAAAAACTGGCATTTAGAAGGGGCTAAGATATTGTTGGGGGACTCCGTTATCCCTAAGACCAAGTCTACAAGAATCTTGGGCGTTCTTTTTGACAGGAAATGTAAATTTAATATACATACGAAGCAACTTAAAGAGGATTGCAGAAGCCGTCTGAATTTGTTAAGAGCTATTTCGAAAAAAGCAGACCGTAAGACCCTTCTTTACATAGGAAATGCAACAATAACATCAAAACTTTTCTATGGTATGGAAATTCTCAGGAAAGAGAACCTCAAAAACCTTGCCCCGATCTACAACCAAATTCTAAGAATCGCTTCAGGTGCCCTTCGTACCAGCCCTATCTTGCCTCTGGCCGTGGAATCGGGATGTTTACCTTTCCAGTACAAGGTCACCCTCTCACTAATTAGGAAATCATGTTCCGTGCTAGAAAAACTACCTAACGAGTGCAACGGTTTACGGAAAAAAGCCAACACTGCCTTCCAATACCTTACGGGTAAATCGCTTCCGCCATTGGAAAAACTCATAACTATTCAGCATAGACCCTGGCACAAACGGAAACCACCAATCGATTGGACAATCAAAGCGAAAGTCAAAGCAGGACAGACGCCTCTGCTAGCAAGGGAAGCTTTCCGTGAGTTAGTAGATCACAAATACCAAGAGCACAACCGATGGTTTACAGACGGATCTTTGGCTGATGGTAAAGTTGGTTTCGGTGTAATTGGTCCTACAACTAGAATTGAAGCTAGTCTTCCTGAACAATGCTCAGTTTTCACTGCTAAAGCTGCAGCTTTGTTATGGGCAACTCGTGATGCAAATGGCAAGTCCGTTATATTTAGCGACTCTGCTAGTTGCCTACAAGCACTAGAAGCAGGAAAGTCCAAGAACCCGTACGTTCAAGCTATCGAGAGGAAAGCAGAAAAAAAGGATATTTGCTACTGCTGGATTACCGGTCACTCGAAAATAACCGGAAATGAAGAGCCTGACAGAGCAGCAAATAAAGGTCGACAGCGAGAGAAAGCTACAAACAATGTTCCAGCACACGATATTATCGAATGGAGTAAAAGTGAAATATGGAAAATACATCAGTCAACTTGGGATGGATCAGCAAGGAATATAACTAGGATTGTTAAACCAACAGTTTTTGGATGGATGGACCAGAAGGACAGAAGAGACCAAATAGTTCTTACGAGGCTTCGACTCGGACACATCTGGCTAACAAAACACCATTTGTTCGAAAGGGAACCGCAAGAAGTTTGCAATACCTGTAACAGGAACCAAACTGTTCATCATATCCTCATCGGCTGTCAGCAGTTCAATTCACAGCGTCACGAAATGGGTTTTCCCGACGACGTAGAATTTATATTAAGAAACAATAAGGATGCGGAAGTGAAAGTAATAAGTTTTTTGAAAAAAATTAGAATGTATAAGAAAATTTGAAATGTATATATTTTGTGAACACTAATTATTAAATTTTCAGAGACGAATGCCCTTGAAGGGTAAAGTCTCTTTAAACAAAAAAAAAAAAAAAAAAAAAAAAAATAGCCCAATAAAACAATCCGCACCATAATTCCATTTGAATAAACTTCTAGACTTTTTCCACCCACACTTTAGCTTCCAATTAATTTCACCATCACTTAAGAAATCCCACAGTTTCTGCACAGTTTGTTCCGCGTACCCCTCCGAATTACCCAGTAGCATGACGGCCCTGTGACACAGTTCAGGGGTCTCATGCTACTGAGCTAGATATCCGGGAGTCTTGGTTGAGCCACTAGGGTAAGTCTCATCTAGTCTCAGATTTTCAATGAAGTTTTCATATCGACCACCGCTTTCTGGTGTGTGGCGTATGGACTTGAGACTTGGCATTCATAAAACCCCCAAAGTAACTGTTCACGGTCAATAGTATCGTAAGCGGCTTTAAAATCGATGAATAAGTGGTGTGTAGGAACTTGATATTTGCGACATTTTTGCCACAAATCTACTTGCTAGTGCTAGTGCAAGACGGTGGAAGATGATCTGGGAAAGCACTTTGTACTACAAAGTTTGTACACACTTAGATTTTTTTGCCGAGATGGGCACCACAAAAAATATGTTTGTTAGCTGAGATCTCGGCGAAATTCCCGTTTGTTAGCTGAATCTCGAAAAGTTTTTCACTGAGATCCAGCAAAATAAAATGCCGAGCTGCTCGGTGGTGCCCATCTCGGCGAAAAAATCTAAGTGTGTAGGCTGCGTTGAGAATGATGATCGTTCGGTAGTTTTTTTATTTTTGTATCTTTATTAAGGAGACTTTCAGCTCCTATTTTTATTAAGGAGATCTTTGATAAGCTTTTGAAAAAAACTATTAAAAAAATATTGAAAAGAACATTTTTATGTTTATTATGTGTTAACACTCTTTTGATTGATTTTACTCAAAATTACATAGTTTTTTTTTTACAGTATATATTTTTACTAAAAAGCACTTGTTTTTGCCTACACTTTAGTCTCAGACGTCATTTCGAATGGATGTGACATTTTCGAGTTATGATTTATTTAAAGTATCGAAAACGCCATTTTCATGTTTTGCTATTAAAAATGACTTAAGTTTTGCTCCAATGAGAAAGTTGAATATCCAATTAAACAAAGATGAGCTAGACTAAGTAGGTTATTCAATTTAACTGTTAAATCAATGTACAGTCATCAACAAACAGAAATAAACATAATTTTAGTTAGTTAGTAGTTAGTAAATGTATGTATTCTAATATCGAGATAGGCTATATTTTGCAAAAACTGTAGTGTGAACGGGGTATACTTCAGCTATTAAAAATAAAACAAGAAATGCTCAAGCCACAACCACCTTCATTATGCTGTGATTATGCTTCAATCAAAACTATGTTGAAGTATGTTTCAACAGACAACAGTTCATTTCACCCGAAAACAGCATATCCCTGACACCAAACAGTTAGTAACCATGCTAACGGCATAGTTCGCACTTTGCCATATCGTCGGTAAATAAAGCATAAAGCATTGAACGACGCACAGCTCGGCGATTAGGAACGAAAAACTTCCCCCCATTTCATTCAACGGTGAACCATTGAACTCTGAAGTTGAAGGTGACCAATTCGCTGTTTAAACTCTTGAACTTTTCCAATGAAAAACATGGATGCCGTACTGTTGGAGCGCGAGCGTGTCCTTTTTCGGATGAACGAGGAAATTAACGCCAAATCACGTGGATTATTTGAACTAAACGAAAATGCCACCTGGATGAATACTAAGAGAAGGATGAAGAACAACATCAGGAAGTTAAATAATCATCAATCGGTGCAGTCGGACAGTTCGGGGAGTTGCTCCAGTGAAGGAGGAAACAAGGAAAATGATTGCGATCCGATGAGTCCATCGGATGCGGAAACGGAATTCAACGACAGTACGCAATGCACCGAGGAAAAGTCTGTGGACAGTGAGAAGGACTCAAATTCTTCGATCGGTACCCAGAAGGAAGAGCTTCAGCTGGTGAAGCCCAGCGAGAAAAAAATTAACAATAAAGCCGTTGCCAAGCAGAGCGCAACGGCCGGTGGCAAGAATGTTAACAAAAATATAGCCGATGTCGTGCCAAAAGTGCTCGAAAAAAAGAACATTAGCTCGGAGGGGTTGATAAAGTGAGTTCGATAGTAACATTACGCGCCAGATATGGGGGTGGTGATGAACGAGTGTGTTTGTTTTTTTTTATGATTCCAGGTTTTTGAAATCAAAGGTTGCTATCATTCAAACTGAGCTGGAATCGGTTCAGAAGCAAAACGAAGCAAACGTGAAAGATTTGAATTTGGCACTGGACCGGTTGAAGCAGTTGGAAAATTTCAAGGAACAGTTGCTTACGAAAAATGCTGCCTTGGAGCGAATGATTAAGAAGTATGAAGAGCGCAACTTGGAGCTGGATAAACAAGTTAAGGTAAGATTTCAAAAATCCTAATAAACATATAATTTTCTTCATTCAAACAACAGTTCACCAAGAAAGGCAACCGTACGTGGTACTTTACGGGATGTAAGATCTACCACCAAATCCTAGTCCTGACTGCTTCAAACTAGGGGAACTGGGGGAACCGCATCTTACACAGAAAAAAAATCTGAATTTTACTGGTGATGTAAACATCCATGCATGCAAACATATATGCATGTAAACTTCCTTCTCACGTAAACCAGCAACTTGTAAGAAATGTTGCTTACAAAGATTGACGGTTACATATAATTTATGGAATATCTCATTATATGTCTCATAAATTTACGCGATCTATAAGGGATGGTCCATTAATTATGCCACGCAAATTTGGCCCACCCCCCTCCCCCCTTTGTCACATTTTTTGTATGGACCTTAATTTTTTTTGTATGGCTCGTCACAGTTTTCAGCTCTCCTCTAAATGTGTGACATACTTAATGGACGACCCCTAATGTAAACTTAAATAATATATGACGCTCCATTTATGAGCATCATATTAACGGAAATGTACACTACTTTTTTTGAACTGTGTAGTCCTTGCTACTTTTTATGCCTTGTTGATAATGGCAATACCCGGCTTTGTCCACCGAGGATGAACTTCAAACAAGGAAACAAATGAGTTACACACTTAGAAATAACTAACTTTACACGTGACGGAATCCATCTTTGACATAAAGAATCAGACGTAAACAGATATTGCTTGTAAAATTGAATGCTCCGAGACTAAAATGTTCGTTACTCGACGAAAAGTACGTTTGATTGAGTTGAATTGAGCGTCTGTTATGACTCAATTTTATCTCAAAATTGACACTCGTATATGTCAGTCTCACATCACCTACATTTACATGATTTTTTCTAAGTGTGTATCAATGAACATTTTTCGGTACTTAAGGGCGGTTCTAAAATACTTTTTTTTTAAGACGCATATTCTTAAGATTGTTAAGAACTGCGAGATGTTGTTTTACGAAAGTTAAAGCATAGAGGTAACTCTAAGACCAGAAGGTACCGAAGAAACGTGCTCAACTTTTTGGCTCAGCTCTGACACTCTCTTCGGTCCCAAGCTAATCGATCCGCCCAAAAAAAAAGGAAATCCACGAACCTCTTATTTTATCTGTCAAACTTTCATAGCGAATCAAAACAAACATAGTGTAGTACTAGAATTTCGAATAGAATGGGGTACGCTTATAGATTTACTTGAGGTCAATAGGCTAGTCAAGTAGTGAGCCAATTTAAAACCGTTAGTTTCCATCGGTTGGTAAAAGGGTGTCCACAGTCAAAATCACTTTAAAAAAGCTGTAACATTTTGCCCTTGGGTTAATTTTAATGAAATTTTGGGTGAGTTTGCCTCAGCGTGTATTGTTTACACTTCGTGAGTTTCATTGTGAAATTTCAGGTGGTTTTGAAAATGGAGTCGAAGGAATAGCGCGTGCATGAGAAAATGTTGCAAGCTCACCTCAACAACCCACATCTTTCGCATCGAGCCATCGAAAGATGTTGGGAATCCTGTTTCTCGTGTCATTACACGTTTTGGAGAACGTTTAACTGTCGATCGGAAGCAAGTGAGCCCAAGAAAAAGTGTTCCATACTGCGTAGAAGATCACAAGCGAGTGGTTGCTGCCTTCAAACGCAAACCCAACTAATCCGTTCGGACAAAAAGTTTCGTGCAGAATGCCAAGAGCTGGCGCCGTTGGTGTAGTGGTAAGTGTGACTGCTTTCGCACCCCAATGGATCTGATTTCAATCCCAGCCGAGGTCGGTGGGATTTTTCTGAGGCATAAAAATCTCTGGTAACGTCTTCCTTCGGAAGGGAAGTAAAGCCGTTGATCCCAGCCCCATGTGTGTGTTAAATGGGTGCGGTATCCTACGCAGGTGTGGAAGCTGCCTTCCTGCAAATTCGATTGCCGTCAATGGATGGCAATCGATGTCCGTCGGTGATTGGCACTAGATTGCGGAACAGAGACCGACGTTAAATAAAGGGAAAAAAATAAATTCTAGAAACGAGCAGGACTACGTTCATTCAAGGTTCAGAAAGCACCAAACCGCAATGAACGGCAAAATAGGACAGCTAATGTATCGTGGACGATGAAACATACGTAAAAGCGGACTTCAAACAAATTCCGGGAAACCAGTTTGTGACTGCGAAAGACAAGTTCGTTGTTTCAGAGTCCCTTAGAAAATAGCCAGTGTAGAAGTTCCTCAAGAAATTCATGATCTGGCAGGCAATTTGCTGCGTTAGCGGAATGCTTAAATAAAACAGCAGAAATGGTCACCTTCCATTTAATTCCACTTAATTCATGTTGCTATCCATGGCATGATACGAAGTTTCGTTATTAGAGAGTTGCATAGATGTTTCTCCTTTGCTTTACTTAAATCTTTGATTATTATTAGTTAGGTAGGTTCCGATTCTACACGTTGTAGTTTCATTTTTAAACCTGTGATCTTGACATTGTATGAGTACTTAAGGGGGTCAAATTTTGATAAGTCTTTTTTGGGAATGACACTGATGAAGACGTCGAAATTCGTATGGATTACAAAATTAATGAAGTGGAATTAAATTGAAGACAACATTTTTTACCGTTTTATGTGCAAACTATAAACAACAGCTAAGCGCACCATTGTGTACTTGCTTTTCAAAATTTGAAGCAAATAACTCAAAACTGAAGATTAAATCACTTCCAATGCAAGCTAGACATTGTTTTCTATTTGTTACGCAACGCAAAGCTTTACTCCTCCCCTCTCATATGTAAACAATATTGGCTCCTCTTTAAGCGTTACGTAATTTATGGATGCCGCCTTATAATTTTGTATAAGCAAGTATTCCTTCAAACCTTTAAAACTTTTAAACCTTTTTTTTTCTTGTAGACAAACTCTCTTCAGTATGTCAAACCTCTAGAGTGCATGGTTTTCGATATATGTATCGAGTTTTGTCTTGAATTTTTTCGTTTTCGACCATAATTGGTTCGGAAACCACAACGTAAGGGAACATGCATAAATGACGTAGCATTTGAGGAAGGACGGGACTTAAGAAGTTGATACCGGCCATGTATTGAGTATAGTGTTGCTTTGCCACAGTACCTTTGGTAGCGGTGCCGGTGATCTAGTGGCAAGAGTGATTGTTTATCACCCCAAAAGGCCTGGATTCAATCCCAGTCTGAGCCGCCGGGATTTTCTGAGGCATAACATCTCTGACCACGTCTTTTTTTGGAAGGGAAGTAAAGTTCCCGGTCCATGAGTTAATGGGTCGATATGGGAGGGTCTAGGTGTGGAAGCTGCCTTCCTGGCGTTGGTAGCATTGCACACTGTGCTAGGAATTCAATCAAGCGGAGCAAAATTAAGAACTCCGAAACGAAGCATTTCCTTTGTGTCTTCGGCAAAGTTTCTTATCATAATGAGGACCATCTATTGAAATAAACAAATAGTTCAAAACTCTTCCGCAAAGATGGCGCCACAATCTAACTCCTTTCTCTGACGTTTTGGAGACTTGATGCCAAAGTTGTTTATCTTGACAAAATAAACAGCTCTTTCAAAGTCGTAAAATTTCCACAGCCTACTGGTTCCAAGTTATATGGAGTTAAAGAAAAAAATGTCTACAATAGGTTTTTTTTTCTTTCTGTATTGGTGTTTTTGCTTACAACCATATAATGTTTTATTTTTCTCTTATGCAAATGCATTAAATTTATAACTTTAATGAAGAAACATGCTGGTTTAAGCTTCAAATTTTAAAGATATTATTGAAAAAACGAAATAAATAACCGCGGTTTTTGAACATTAATATCTCATAAAACGCAAAAAATCGCGACCTTACATTTTCAGCAAAAATTAAGCGAGTATTGCTTAAACAAAATATCCGAATTTGAGAGAGGTATATTTTGGTGTTTTTTAGATTTCTTCATTTAAGTGGAACAAAAAACCACTTATTTTCACATTTTTTCTGTAATTCCATATAACTCGAAAACAGTAGGCTGTGGAGTTTTGACGTCTCAAGAAGAGTTGTTTATTTTATCAAGATAAACAACTTTGCCAACAACATCAAGTCTTCAAAACGTCAGAGAAATAAGAGAGATTGTGGCACCATCTCTGCGGAAGAGTTTTGAACTATTTGTTTATGTCCTTATGGTCCTATGATGATGAGAAAATTTGCCCAAGACACCACGTCGGAAATGCTTCGTTTCGGAGTTATTAATTTTTCTCATGGATACCAAAATTAATTAAGTGGAATTAAATGGAAGATAACCCCCCCCCCCTTTTTTGCTGTTTTATTTAGCATTCCGTTAACAACCCAATTTCATTACTTCATTATGATGGCTACCAAGCCTTTGGGAATTTTCCTTATTAGAGAGTTGTTTAGATTTTTCTCCTTTAGCTTACTTAAATCTTTGGTTTTTATTAGTTAGGTAGGTTCCGATTCAACACATTGTAGTTTCATTTTTATACCTATGATCTTGACTTTTTTTACTTAGGGGATGAGTAGTTAAGGGGGTTAGATTCTTTAGTGGGAATGACACTGATGAAGACTGCACATTGTAGTCGAAATACGTATCTGTCATGGATACCAAAATTAATTAAGTGGAATTAAATGGAAGATAACCCTTACTTCACAATTTTTCTCCGCTATGTTGCATTCCTGGCCCAGTGTGCATTGGATGCAAAAATATCGCAAATTTTTTAAACTACGCTACATTTTCGCACATTACAGAGAACGAAACCCAGCTTTACATACAGTTTTGTATTGTTTTGAATTTTTCTGTTTTCTGGTTAATCACATTTGAAGTTTACAGTATGGAATCATAAGATTATAATTAATACCAAACACTCCAGTGTATATATTCATTAAAATTTGGCAAAAAATTCAACCTGTGACATTTTTTCCGTCCAATACAAGCTAGCAGCAGCTCTGCGAATGCCAGCAATTGCAAGCGAGAACGTATCTCCTCTGTGATTTTTCAAGCGGTCGTT